GTGAGGAATTGACCTCCAGGCCAATTGGCTGTGAGAATCAGCTATGTCTGCGGTGGGAGAACTTCTGTGCTGGAGACACCCCTCTGGGGCTAGACTTGCTTCGATGGGGCTTTGGTGCTCACTGAGTCTGCTCCCTGAGTGTGTCTTTTATGGTTCCATGGAGCTGCAAACTGGATGGTCCCACTCTGACCTCTGGATTTCCTGGCTCCTGGATCTCTAGGGAGGTGCTAATCTAGCCTTTGCCTGAGGCTATACAGCAAAAGCCTTGCTGCAGGGCTTCGGCGGGCTGGGTCTCCTGGGATCAACAGGGTGGGGCTAGCAGTTATGGCTGCTCTCAGTCTTGCCCTCAGAGGCTCTGCTTCTCAGTGTCCCGGTAATTGCTGCAAGCCCCTTGGAGAGAAAGCTGCGCTCGAGTTCCAACCGATGCCAAACAGTCCCAATTCTCCCATATGAGCCTGGGTCCCTAGAGACTTGCCTGAAACTGGAGCTCAGAGCCTGAGACTCCCTCCCGATTGAAAATGACAACCTTGCCCTCAGCCACCAGCACACTCCGCATGTACCTACGCACCTTAGTATTTTACTTCTGTACTGCGCCTCCTCTGAGTCTCAGTGTGCTTTTCTCTTTCCTCCTAGTTGTAGAATTTCCCCTCAGCCAGCCTTCCTGTGGTTCTGGATGATGTCCGTTCCGTCTTTTAGTTGTATTTTTGAAGTGGTTGTTCGAGGCAGCAAACTCCGGTGTTTACCTATGCCACCATCTTGGTTTCTCTCTTTCTTTTTTCTTTTAATAATATATTTTTATTGATTTTAGAGAGGAAGCTGAGAGAGAAATAGAAACACCAATGGTGAGAGAGAATTCATTGATCAGCTGCCTCCTGCACCTAGGCATGTGCCCTGACCGGGAATTGAACGGTGACCTCCCAGTTCATAGGTCAACGCTCAACCACAGCCACACCAACCGAGCTTGAAGATATTTCAAGACTGTGTTTATATTTGCGAAGTTAGCTTTTGTGTAATTTCAAGTTGCCTGAAGGGGATAGTCATTTCCTACAGCTTCCCCGCAGCCAATGGGGAGATTTGACAAGCACGTGCTGTTGAAATATTAATCACAAGTGTATGCATCATTGTGTTATTTCAGTGATATTATAAACCGGTTTTCCCTTTTTATTGCTGTTGTTGGTTTTGGCTCTGGCATTAGCACATGATTGCCAGCGGATTTGGGTAGATACCATAGAACCCTGGAAAGTGTTCACTTTCTCTTTACTTGTTGACACTATACTTACAGGTGGAAGATGATGCCAACGTGGGTGTTAATTGCTGCTTTATTGGAGCTAGAAAAGTACACATCATGCATTTCTGCATTTTATCTTTCAGAGTTATGCCCAGCCGAGTCTGCAGTACCTCCAGGGGCAGCAGCTCTTCTCAGCTCCAGGAGTGGTGGTCCAGCCAGCCGCCGCCGTGACGACGGTCGTGGCGCCAGGGCAGCCTCCGCCCTTACAGCCAGTAAGAAATCTTCCGGCCGACAAAACGCTCGTCGTTTTGGTTTGGCTTTTATTTTTGTTTTGTTTTTAATTTGTAACTTAAACTGACTGGCCTTATATTTTTATACTTTGCTATGAATTTCTGAAGTAATACTTTTTTAGACTAGCTATTATTTATGATGCTGTAGGATACTATCCTAGACGACATGAACTAGTATAGTGTAGAATTGAATGCTGTGCACTGTGTACTGAGGGGAGCTTTTGGTATTCACCATCTGTAGAAAGATATGGTGAAACCTTGATGAAGGGTTGTTTGGGGAGGAAATGGGAAACAGGAAGCTGGTCTTGGAAGCAATTGAGAAACTAACAGATTCACATGATCAGAATAGCAGGTCTGATGACGGCTCTTGAACGACCTGGCGAGTGCTGGTGGCTGTAGACAGGGAAGGGGAGAGGGGGACCCAGGCTGCAGGGAGGAAGTCAGTGAGCACTCACAGCAGGGGTTCGAGGGCTTGGTATGTGCTGGGCCCTCCTTAGCTTCTTAATACAAATAGAACATTGCCTTCCTGTTATTAGAAGTTGATATTCTGCGAGTTGAGGATCACGATGAATGATATTTACTATCATGAAAGGTACAGATGAAGAGTTTGGGGGAAAGATCATTCCCAGGTGGGGGAAGGACTAATAATTTATTAAATATTGAATGACATGCAATATGAAGTGACACCAAAGCGTGGGGGAAAGAGGCCGGATACAGGACTGCAGGAAGGGAAGAGGTGGGACCTCAGCAGAGAACAGGGCTGTGCGCAAAGCAGCAGCCTGAGACCCGCCTGCACTGCCAAGAGGAAACGTTCTACTCCCGCCCGGGTGCCAGGCTCCTCGTGAGCTGCCCGGGCAAAGGGAAAGCTGGACGAGCCGTTCTCGTGTGCGTGTTTTTTAGCCTGAAATGGTTGTGACAAATAATCTCCTGGACCTGCCGCCTCCCTCTCCTCCAAAACCAAAAACCATCGTCTTGCCTCCCAACTGGAAGACGGCCCGCGACCCTGAGGGGAAGATTTATTACTACCACGTCATCACCAGGTGAGGGGCTGCTGGGTGTCTCATATACCGTAGGCTTTGGTCCTTTCCAGGTGTTTTGGTGTATTTTTGATTTGCAAAGCTTTTTTGAAGAAAACAAAGGGGTTTTTAAAAAATGGTAACATCATCATTAGTGTAGCTATCAGGGGTCAGGGGTCATGGGCAGACCCCTTCTGTAAAAGACCAGACCAGCCCTGGCCGGTGTGGCTAAGTGGTTAGATCGTCAGCCCTTGGAACAGAGGGTTGTGGGTTCGATTTCCGGTCAAGGTCATGTAGGCTCCCTCTGTTGCAGGCAGGATCCCTGGCCCTGGTCGGGGCACATGAGGTAGACAGCCGATCGATGTCTCTCTCACATCAATGTTTTTTTCTCTCTCTGTCCCTCCTTTCCCTCCTCCCTTCACTCCATTCTCTCAAAAAAAAAAATTATAAAAAATATCCTCAATGAGGATTTTTAAAAAAAAGACCGGATAATAAATATTTTAGGCATTGCTGGCCCTTTGTCATGACTACACAATTCTGCCATTGTTGTATAAGCAGCTATGATAATACATAAATGAATGGGCATGTCTTTGTTCCAATAAAGCTTTATTTCCAAAATAAGCAATGGACCAGATTTGGTCTCTGAGCCATAGTCTAATGACGCCTGCTATATAAAAAAATCAATTTATCTTTTTCTTAGAAATTAAAAAAAAGTGTATTTTAGACAAGACAGCTGTGAATTTGTGTTTCCTCTGAGTATGTGTGTGGTTGCACTCATCGGTATATAATCTATATGAATTGTTTGGGTGCATGTTTTATAATTTGCAACTACATTGTTTTTAATGCTTGCTTATATTTTGTTGCAGGGGTTAGCAAACCATGCATCTATGGCCCACTTATTTTTGCAAATAAAGTTTTTTGGGATCACAGCCACACCCACTTATTTAGGAATTGTCTGTGGTTGCTTTGATACTACAGTGGCAGAGCAGAACAGTGATTGCAGAGACCACAAGGCCAAAGATATTACTCTCTGATTCCTTATAGAAAAAAGTTTGCCAACCCTGCTCTCTTGTATGGCCTCGCCAAATTTTATTTAAACCCACCCTGATTGATGGGTTTTCACTATTTTATATGTAACGCTAACCCTGGACATCCTTAAATACTCATCTTAGTACCTTCTTCAGTTAGATTCTTAGAAGTGGAATTGTTGGTGAAAAGAAATATACATTTTAGTTCCTTTCTTTTCTCTTTTTTTTAGTTACACATTTTAAATTGATAAATAGGCGACCATTAAAAAAATTATTTGTACCAACTTAGACTCCCAAAAAAGTAAAGAGGTGCGTTTTTCATCATGTAGGTTCTTTTAATCTTGTGTGTCTATTAGGTGAGAAATCTTATTTTCATTTACACTTTTTACTGAGATGGAGTGTCTTGTCTTCATTAGATTATTGGCAGTTTGTATCTTTTGTGAATTTGTTTTGGTCTTCTATCCTTTTTTGTCTTTTTATCAAAGGTATTGCAAGTATATTTTTGTTTGTAGTATCTAGTGACATAAGGAAGTTTAAAATTTTCATACAAGTATTTTCCCTTTAGAAAGGCCTTTGTTTTTCCTATAAAATACTTCTATAAAAGAAGCCTTTATTATATTACTAACTGAAAACATAGTGATTTAAAAAAACCATTGTTTGCAAATTTTATCAGAACTTTGTTTTTCAATATCAAAGCAAACTTTTTAATGTATTATCACTTTTCCAAAAAGAAAAAGCTTGTATTTCTTATTTACATGGTACTTTTTCCAAGTTTTTCCTAAGTTTTCCTTAGCTAGCATCTGAGCGTCATACTTCTTTCTCTGTTCACTTTCCGTAATAAAGCCACAGCTGCTGGTGTTTCTTTGGGTACAGTAGAAATCTTGAGCCCATTTTCATTTTTAAAATATATTTCTGTTGATTTCAGAGAGGAAGGGAGAGGGGGAGAGAGAAACATCAATGATGAAAGAGAACCATTGGTCAGCTGTCTCCTGCAACCTGGGCCTGTGCCCTGACCAGGAATTGAACCATGACCTCCTGGTTCATAGGTTAATGTTCAGCCACTGAGTCAACGCCAGCTGGCCTTGAGCCCGATTTTTTATTTTTTACTTTTTTAGTTTTCGTTAATTCTCATCTGAGGATATTTTTCAGTTGAATCTTAGGGAGAGTGGAAAAGAGAGGGAAAGACAGAGAGAAACATCGATGTGAGAGAAACACATCGGTTGGCTGCCTCCTGCATGAGCCCCTACCAGGGCCCAGGCTGGGGAGGAGCCTGCAACCCAGGTACGTGCCCTTGACCGGAATCGAACCCAGGACCCTATGGTCCGCAGGCTGAGGCTCTATCCACTGTGCCACACCGGCCAGAGCTGAGCCCATTTGAAAAAGAAAAGTTGCGTTGGTCAGAGGTAAGCCCGTTTTCACAGCCAGTCACCTGAACACGGATTCCATCAGGGGCCTCTCGTGTTGCTGGCTGAATGGTGTGGGGTGAAAGCAGGGATTTCAGTGGCAGAGCCTCCTGGCAGAAACGTTACAGCGTCTCGGGCTTTTCACATACGAAGTGATTCCCCTTAAAGCATTCCCTGTGGGAACTGACTTCAGAACATGAATTCCCTCACTTCCAGTTGTTGCCTCGCAGATCTAGCTTTAAGAAAAAATCTTTGTCTACTTATTTTCAGAACAACGACAAACACACACGGGTTAACGCTTCTTTTTGCAGTCAGTGGAAGATATTTTCAGACTTGGGCACCAGTCTGTAGCCTGTAGGTCTTTTCCATGCTGTCAGTCCTTAAACCAAAAGGCACAGAGACAGCCAGAGGCTCCTAAAGCAAGGAGGCGTTCCCACCGGTCGGGGTCCTGAGCAGGTGCTGGGGCGGTTCTGCCCGGGGCCTACCGAGCTCCTCTGAGGACACAGCCGGGCGAGAGACAAAGGGTTTGGGTGTGCTGCTCTCCGACACCATTGGCTACAGAAGAACCGTGGGCTCAACAGTCTTCTCGGAGATAGGATTGTCGTTGCTGGGAAGATGTCAAAAGAAGGGCTCTGTCTCACGGCGCTGCCTCGTTCTGTTGGTGGCTGGGATCCTGCATGGATGTGTGAGCAGAGATGCCGGGCCAGAATTCTCCGTGTTCTGGCCATGACAGCGGGGCTCTCCTTACCTCCTTCTAGGCAGACTCAGTGGGACCCTCCCACGTGGGAGAGCCCAGGCGACGAGGCCAGCCTTGAGCATGAAGCTGAGATGGACCTGGGAACCCCGACATACGATGAAAACCCCATGAAGGTGGGTGTGGCTGACGCCTGTGTTTCCTGGTCGCTTGGGATTCTGTGCCTTGTCGTTTCGTAGGGCCGGTAGCCGCCTGTTCTCGGGTTCTGTTCTCCTTATTGGTTCTGGAGAATCACACGTGTAATAAATGCTGGGGCGGGGGTAGGGGCAGCTCGGACATGCTGACCACAGAAGTGTGGTCTGTAGAACAGCAGGGAAGAGCCTGTAATTGCTGTTCAGCTGCTCTCCCTCCCGTCTCTCTCGGGACACATAGCCTTTTAGGGCAGGACTCTCAGTGAGGCTCAGGCGTGCTCCTCGGGATGTTTGACAATATTTAGAGAGATGACTGGTGGTTGTCGTCGAGGGGAAGCTACTGGCTGCTAGGGATTGAAGGCCAGGAAACCACTAAAACATGAAATGCACAGGAGTGCCCCCTTCCCCGCCCACATCGCTGTTTTAAAGTAAGAGCACCGCCCCCCTTCCCTTCCCCCACCCGTGGGTTTCTGGAATCTACACGAGACCTCTTGTAGCCCCCAAGATGCTCCCGACCCGTGAGGTCGCCTGTGATGTTCTGGGGACCACTGGTCCACTCATGTCTTGTCTGGTGCTGAAGGGTTTCTGACTGGCAGCGGGCATTTGGGAAGGTCACTAACACTTAGTCTTAAGTCTCTGAAGGCGTTCACGTCGCTCTCCATCAAACTGTCCTTGACTCTGACTCTGGCTCCTGGGATTGTGTGAGCGTTAGCCAGTTTCCGAAAGTATTCTCGTGCCGTTGGCAGACCACAGACCACGGGGGTGTGGATGTCAGTACCCCAAGAGCACTCCTTTGGCTCTCGGTGCCCATGCTGCAGTCTCAGCGCCTGGCCGTTGAACAGCCCCTTTCTCAGTCCCAGTAGCACCGCACTCGACGGGCCCCTGGTCTCCCGACAGTGCTCCGTGGACTGTGCCCTGTAACTGTTCTCACAGCCCGCCCTCCCCAGCCAGAGAACCAGAACGCTGCTCAGCGCGCAGCCCGTTCAGAGGGAGCAGGTTCCTGTTGGCACAGCACTCCTGTGAGAGCCGGGCCGCCCTCCCTCAGGGCGTTCGGTCCTCCCTGCTCTCACTGCTCATGTCTGAGGCCCACAGAGAGCTTGGAGGGTGTGCTCAGTGTCCGCCGCTGTTCGGGCAGTTTTCCATCCCTCGCTACCTGAGGTCTTCCTGTGAGGCACGCCCGGCCTCTAGTCCTGGAAAAGTAAACACAAAATCCCAAAGCAGAGCATTTGAAAATAGATTGCTTGTCGAGTTGTTTTATTTCCTGACAACAGAGGTTGATCTGTGTGTTCTTTCTCTCCCTCCTCCCCTCCCCATCCCACTCCCACTGCCACAATGGAAACTGTAGACCTTTCACAACAAATCCGAGAAAGCTGATTGTACCTAGTGCAGGGGGGCCACCTTCCGCAGGAGCCAGCCCCGGGAGAGGCCTGGCTCCCATCATCACCTTCATTCTTGGTGGACATGGAGGGGTCGCAGCTGGGGTGGTTGGGAGAAGGCAGTTCTCTGCTGTGAGTGGCAGCAGGACCAGGACGTGGCTGTCATACCAGCTGCAGCTTCTACACCCGTCGGAGTGACTGCTCAACGGGGAGCGCTCGTGGCCGTCCACAGAAAAGTGTGTTTGCCACGTTTCCACGGAGAGGGCGGCTGGTGGCGGGCAGTATGGGCGACGGCCTTGCATGGAGGGGCTCACCACTGAGCAGTGCTGGCTGGAGGGACGTGGCCGCTCCCCCCGGCGCTGCTGGAAGGGACTGTCCCGGGGGTGTTGACCTCTTACCAGCCGGGGACCCAGGCACCTGTGTCTCATCATCTGCTCATCTGCTCACTGACTGGCACAGCCCTGTCTTCTTCCCCCGGACTCCTAGTTTCCTCTGGTCTTTGCATTTCTGAACTGGAATCGCACCCTCCCAGGAGCCTCTCCTGCAGTCTGGCCAGCGCTGCCTCGGGGGAAAAGGGAGGCGTATCCAAGGGGGGTGGGAGGACTGGGGAGAGGACGTGTGTGTGGGAACCTCCCGATGTGGTGAAAGGTTCCAGAACGTGTTTTCCGTTGTCCTGGAACCCTGGCGTGTCAGTAGGAGAAGTGGCGCTCAGTGAGCTTCGGCCTGGACAGTGCTGGGCGCTGAGCGTGGGGCAGTGAAGCTCGGGGCATCTGAGTGGCCCATTCCCAGCAGAGAACTGGGCTCTGAGACAGTAGAGGTTTTCGCTCCCTCACGGCCGCCGCGCTGAGTGAGGGTAGAGACCTAGGACTTGGTCCGTCGGGGTGAGGGCTGAGCCAGGTGCCTCCGGGCCTCGTGCCTTAATGCCGAGAGGCCAGAAGTGGGGAAGGGGTGCTGGAGCAGCAGGGCGTCACGGTCTGACCTCGTCCCAGCATTGCTGCTTTCTCTCCGTTTCTAGGCCTCAAAAAAGCCCAAGACTGCGGAGGCAGACACCTCCAGCGAGCTGGCCAAGAAAAGCAAGGAAGTGTTCAGAAAAGAGGTAGGTCTGGTGGGGGTTGCTCAGCTCCATGGCTGTTGAAACCGGTCTTTCCTTTCCCGTCCTCAGCACCCACAGCTCGTCCCCTCGCCTCCGCCATTCAGCTGTGCAGCTGCTGTGATGGCGCACGGCATGGCCTTGCACTTGGGTGATGAGCACTTCCGTGCCCACTGTCTGATTCCGTCCACGCGGCCCTCGAGGTGGGCAGGGAGGAGCTGTCAGGCCTTGCGGGCGGGAGCAGGAACCCCTAGGGCTCTGAGAGGTAGGTGCTCCACAGAGACTTGAACTCAAGCCTCCTGGCAGTCGGTTCTCTTTCTGTGACACCTCACGGGGCTGCCTGATCCTTAGGGGCTGGAGAAAGCAGCTCTGCTCTGCTCCCAGGGTTCCAGCCCCAGGACACCAGCTGGTCTGCCAGGGATCTGGGTTCGAACACGCCCGGTTTCCTGAAGGGACTCTGCTGTGCTGGCGGCTGAGTGAAGAGGGCGCTGAGGGTGTCGGTGTCGGGAGGCAGGTGGATGGGGAGCGTGTCCCTCAGGCCTTAGACGTACAGGAGAGAGCCGGCAGGGTTTCTCCAGGGAGCTGTGCGCGGCCATGGCTGTGCCGGGCGGGCGGGGTGTTGGGAGATGCGGCTGAGCAATCCCGCGCTGCTCCACACACGGCCTGTGTGGCTCACGGGGAACCGGTGCAGGGCTTTCAGCGGGAGATGGATTGAGGCAGAGTATGGAGGCCAGGAGGCCTCATAGACAGAGACCCCTTTAGTCTCTCACGATCCCTGTGAAATGATCGGTGTTTCAGCTCAGCCAACCAGCAGCTGGCTACTTCCTTCGTGCCGGCTGTGCGATGGGGCGTTGTTCTCTGGCTCGGAAGGCTCACTGAGCTTGGAGGGCGGTGGGCCCTGGGCAGTGCTCCCTGATGAAGTGGCTCTCGCTGGCCGCCTCACTCCCTTTGTCCCTGGGGTCTTGGTGCCATGGATACTTCAGAGGTTCTGTGTCTGGGTCTCCTGAGAGCCACTGGGCAGGACAGACACCGAGAGCTCAGAGGACACAGACGTTGTATATAGAAGAGGGTCCTGCCCAAGGCTTTCCCCGCCAGCTGTCATGCTGCGCTGCCACCTCTTCACGCAGCTGCGGTGTGAACCCGCCTGCTCCACGCAGCTGCGGTGTGAACCCGCCTGCTCCACGCAGCTGCGGTGTGAACCCGCCTGCTCCACGCAGCTGCGGTGTGAACCCGCCTGCTCCACGCAGCTGCGGTGTGAACCCGCCTGCTCCACGCAGCTGCGGTGTGAACCCGCCTGCTCCACGCAGCTGCGGTGTGAACCCGCCTGCTCCACGCAGCTGCGGTGTGAACCCGCCTGCTCCACGCAGCTGCGGTGTGAACCCGCCTGCTCCACGCAGCTGCGGTGTGAACCCGCCTGCTCCACGCAGCTGCCGTGTGAACCCGCCTGCTCCACGCAGCTGCCGTGTGGTTCCACCTGTGCCTCACAGCCCCTGGCAGCACTGGGTCTTCTCTCTGCGCTGTTTCTGGAGCCAGAGGACTCAGCTGCCGCCTCTACACTAAGGAAGTGCCCTGTGCTCGCTGAGCCCGGGGCCTGCATTCCAGTTGCATAAAGAGGATCGCTTTCTCCAGTCCCTGCTGCCCCCCCACCCCGCCCCCCTGGGCTGACCTCATTGTGACCTCTTCCTTCCTGGATGTTGAGCGTGTGTTCTCTCTGCTGCCTGCAGATGTCCCAGTTCATCGTCCAGTGCCTGAACCCTTACCGGAAACCAGACTGCAAAGTGGGGAGAATCACCACCACCGAAGACTTCAAGCACCTCGCCCGGAAGGTACTCTCCCCGCCGTGACTGGCAAGTTGTGGGCAAACTAGACCTAAGAGGCCTCTCCCATCGGAAGTGGGTTTTCCGGCCTGATGCCCAGGCTGGGTGCCCAGGAATGGAGGGAAGGTTTGAGAAGGAAGGGCCCTACCTGAGTGTAGTGACTCTGAGAGACTTCCAGGGCTGAGCCGCCCCTCCTGGTGGCCCCAGCACCAGCCGCCCCACCCTGTCTCCTGGTTCACCTCCCAGTCTGGTCAGAGGGCCCTGAGGCCACAGGCTGGCCTTCGCTCCAGTCGTGTCCCCTCTGACTGGCGGCCTGTTCTCTCCTGCGTCCCGACAGCTGACTCACGGCGTCATGAACAAGGAGCTGAAGTACTGCAAGAACCCGGAGGACCTGGAGTGCAACGAGAACGTGAAGCACAAGACCAAGGAGTACATCAAGAAGTACATGCAGAAGTTCGGGGCTGTTTACAAACCCAAAGAGGACACGGAACTGGAGTGACAGGACCGGGCGGGCGGCGAGCAGGCTGGACAGACTCGGCGAGGAGCCTGCGGCCTCCTGCCCGCCTCCGCCACACCGTGCTACTGATGCCCCCTCACTGGGACCCGCCTGCAGGCCCTGGGAGCCCAGCAACGAACTCAGTCTCCAGCAGGCGGTCCCTGGCCATGAGCTGTTGGGGGAGGTTAGAGGCCATCAGAGGCCCGGGCCCAGGGAGATGCTTCCCTCGGACCCTGGCCAGGCCTGACCCCTCTCACACCTGGGTCTCCTCCTTGGCGGTGCTGTCAGCGCACGGACCATGCGCATCCCCACCCACCACCTCTACCCTGACGACCTGTATTATATTTTAATGTATATGTGAATATATTGAAAATAATCTGTTTGTTTTTTCCTGGTTTTTGTTTGTTTTTTGTTTTGCTTTTAGCCTTTACATGCTAGGATCACAGGAAGACTTTGTAAGGACGGTTGAAGTTCTCCTGCAAGGTTTAATTTGTTATCATGTAAATATTCCAGAGCAGGCTGCCTTGTGGTTTCGGCCAGCCTTGTGCTATGTTGATAAGATTGATTTACTGCTTAAAATCACTTTACTTTATCCAATTTTTACTGAACTTTTTATGTAAAAAATAAAATTAATTAAAGAACTTGGTATGTGTGTTCCCTATGAGCGAGGTGAGCATGTCTGTGTCTGCGGTTCCTGGAGGAGAAAGGAGAGGAGTGCGGTCCAGAGTCCCCTGAGGTTGGAGTTGGCCGTGGCCTGTCCTCAGTCCCAGGGGCTGGGCTGAGGCAGTGCTTGCAGGTGACTGACAGGCCCTGTGGCTGTGCTGGGGGCGGAGTCACTCAGCGAAGGCGTGGCCGGCGCCTCCCTGGCAGGGACTTCCCTCCAGAGACAAGTCCACCTGGCACGGGGCCTGGACACTAGACATAGGACAGGTGGGGACCCCGAATGTGGGGCGCAGTGCACAGGTGGATGAGTGGGCATCTGGAGGAGACCACGCCCCACACGTCCCTATCTGGGCAGTGAGGAGAGCCAGAGGCTTCAGGCCAGCTGGGGCCCATCTGCAGAGTCTGGTCCATCTCTTCCTCACAGCAGCAGTGCCCCTGGGGGGCAGGGGGGGTGTGGTGGGTGCAGCGCTCACTGCCTGTGGGTGCACCTGGGCTCCTAGCTCTGTGCTCAGCCCTGAGGAGCAGGAATCAGCTCCTTTCTGATGAACAAACAGGTGAGAGGGGCAGTTACTCATCTCCTGTCCTCATATGAGAGGAAGTGTTGACACGGGCAGAGAAAACCTCTTTCCGTCATAATCACTGGGCGTTGGACCTGCCCGCTCGAGTGCATGAGGAGTGTCCGCATGAGGAGTGTCCGCGGCCAGATCACCGTTGCTGACGCCCAGGCTCCAGGGCTCAGGTTCCCAAGGCACCGGGCGGTGCACAAGGCACCGCTGAAGAGGAAGGAGTCCTGTTAGTTTGCCACACTGTTGGCTTTTCCACAATCTTTTCCCTTCCACGTGCCCCGGACACCTTCAGGCTCCAGGCCCCAGTAGTGAGGAGGCTGCCAGCTCACTGGGAGCGTTCCTGCCAAGCCCATCCATGGTCAGCGAGGCCACTCCCTGCTGACGTGGGTGTGGTGTCCCCAGGGCCCGTCTGATTCTAGCTGTGGGACTGCTGGGTCTTCCTGCTTTCTCTCCTGGTTATTGCGGCCCCGGGGTCATCTCACGATGAATGTGGCGTAGTCCCTCCCCCCTTCTTTTTAAATATATTTGTATTTATTTCAGAGAGGAGGGAAGAGGGAGAGAGAAACATCGAGAGAATCATTGATGGGCTGCCTCCTGCACGCCCCACACTGGGGGTCCAGCCTGAAACCCTGGCCTGGGCCCTGACCAAATTGAACCGTGACCTCCTGGTTCATAGGTCACCAGTCCGCCCGAGCCAGGCTGGCCAGGCAGTGCCTTCCCTGTGAAGGAAGAGATTGGGGGTCGAGCCGCCCCAAGAGCTGTTTTTCAGGACCAGCAGCAGCAGCTGGTGAACTGGGTCCTCAGTCTGTGCCATCTCAGCAGGGGATGGGGCCGGCCCTGGGCCCTGGACCATGACAGCCCCACGTCTCCTGAGTCAGTTTGGGGGCGGCGGCTGGGATGGTAGCCGTCAGTCCTCCCTTGGCAGGCCTGTCTGCTGCCGCAGCCCTCGCCCGAGGCGGTCACCACACTGCCTGCCTCTCCCTCCAGAGGGAGCACAGCGTGAGCTGGAGGCGGCTGGGCTGCGGCTGCCTGTCCTCACCTGCCCCTCAGGTGGGTGGGGGACCTGCCAGCCCTCGGCTCGTGCGGACAGCACATACGCAGCGAGGGAAGCACGCTGGCCCTCCCTCTCCTGAGGCCGGAGTGTGGGCCTGGGAACTGCGGCCTTTCTCCCTTTAGTTCGAGAGGTAGGTGCCCAGAGGTCCTTGGGGACCAGCCTCCCCACCCTACCGGTCGCCGCC